CCAGCTACGTGTTTCTACCACTGAGACTGAAACACGCGCTGCCCATGAGCTGTGAATAAAGCCGCCACCTCAGGAGACGATGAAGAAAGAGTGTTTTATTTCTTTATAAACTTATAGCCAAGACAATAAATCACTCCATAGAAAAATTTAAAACAAGATGCATTGTTGTGACCTTCGTAGTAGGTGGCGTAGTCAGCACAGTAGAGAGAACTGCCTGCTGGGCGTCAGGTTGCAGCACGTTGTCAGGCCCCATGAATGAAAAGGAGAGTCCGACTTTATCAGTGGGGTGGCTGCCAAAGGGGCCCTGGCTTCAGATTGTTGGGGAAATAACCATGGCGATGAGCTGAGGGCCAGGTCTCCCCTAAATTTTGCTACCTTTGCAGAATGTGGGATATAATTCATAGGCTGTTTGGGGATTTATTTATTGGGCCCAAGAGAACACAGTAACCTTTTTACCTTGAAACTTCCACCTAGATCCAGGTCATCACTTCCAACATTCTTAAAGATACTGTGGCGTGACAATGGCTGTCATCACATGTTATTAAGTCTCCTTAAAAGTGGTAATTGTTGAGTTCCTCATCATCGGAGTACGTCCATGGAACACCCGTCCACCCACTGGCCCCTCACGGCTACGGGCCCCTGAGACCCCCTCTCCATCCCTGCGAAAGAGAGATTGGGTAAAGACGGGCTTCAGAACCAACCGTGGCCCCATGTTCCAGTTGCCTCACTAACCTGCAGGAACACACAACTCATTTTCTTTTGAAGCTGTATGATAGTTTTCCCTGCAAGGTGTTACTGACAGGTAGATACATAGAAGAGTGGATTGGATCAGACGGAAATTTTAGGTCACTGTTATCCAGAGCCCATGTGGCAATGCCCTCATCCTCTCTGTACTTCCACTTTTCATCTTTGAAAGCAGAAATATTTCACTTCTTTCCCCTTCAAAGTCCTAAGAATGCTCTGAAGACACATGAGAAAATGTGGCAGAATCCCCAGGAATGGAAGGCAGTAAGAAGCACAGAAAGGAGGTGGAAGTATGTTTAAGGGTCTTTATGCTGAGAAACAAAATAAATGGAATAGCGAGGGTGTGGTCATGAACTTCCTACCCTACAGTTCCTGCCAAGGTGGGCCAGCTGCTCCCTGTGGCTGGAATGGGTCTCATGGGTGTGAGGGGGGCCCAGCCAGCTGAGCCAACAGTTGGTTACCTCTTGGCAGTCGTGTGGCCTGTGTCTGTCTGAGAGAATCCTGTCCAGAGACAGGCAATTTGACCTCCGGTTACTGATGAAAGCAGTCGAGCATTGTACAACAGAGGCACTGCAAGAGACCTTGTAACTCACACTGTGTTGTTATATCTGTGCGCTTCCTAGTTGCACAAGCAGTAGGATTTCCTACCTCTGAGATGTGCTGAGAACTGATGAACAGGAAGGAACAACACAGCTGGGGAAAATGCTGAGAAAAACCAGTTTTTCATAGCACGTACAAAAACCAATCCCCATTTTTCATTCTAAATATTTCGGTGACTAGTTGGCTTTTTGAACTGGAATTTACTTGTCAAATGATCCATCAATGTATTTCATGTAAACTTTAGCTGAGCTTCATAGTTTTAGGGAAATACTTTGCCATGGCCTGAAGCTAAGCATTTCACAAGGAGAAGCAGTGATTTGAATAATGATTTGAATAGCTAGAGGTTAAGTTTAAAGATGAAATGTGAGCTCATCTCGTGAATTGTGACAAAATTTAAAAAAAAAAAGATATCCTAAATGTACTACATGAATATCATGGACATTTAAAGTTAGTTACTTCTTTGTAGAAATAATTGTGCAATGTAAGGGAGATACTATTTTAGAAACAACTGAGAATAGTTAAATTGTTCAAATAATTAGTAATTAAACACTAAATATGATGCCTTCTGAGGCAATTTCAATAAAAAGTCAACGAAACGTCCCATGTTTTGTTTGCAGATATACTGTTAACCATTTGCTAAATGAACAGTTGAATGTTGAACATTTCCATGCCTAGACATTTGAAAAGTCTTTAAAATTAGGATAAATAAATGTAAACAATAAGGAAACACTGTGCTTGGCTGAGACCGAGAGGGAACCACCGCCAGCTGCAGACACTGACCTGGAGGCTCAGCACGTGGGCCCTCAGCTACCACCAGACTGTCAGCCCTTCATCAGAACTGAAAGTTGTCCCGATATGGTCAGGAGCCTGCCAGTCAACTGAGACCCTCAGGAAAACAAGTCAAGACTGAAAGAAATCATACTGTGGTTGTGCAAGAAGTTAATAAATGTAAATACCTTTCTCAGCATGTAACTAATTTGACTCCTCCCTTACCTTGAGAAGTGTGACAAGGGAAGTAGAAAATTTAATTTGGCCATTGGGGATTCTTGCAGCTAAAATGCATGTACCAGTTTCCAATGACTTGAAATATCACAAAGTGCTTAATGCTTGGGACAGGCTTATATGAATCCTTCCACGGTTTCTATGATGCATATAATTCCTTTCTCTAACCATTTTATCAACTGGATTGTTAACTCATTTTTCAATCATAAAACCACTAATGATTGATCCCTGCCCCGCTCCCAGTATATTTTGAATTGGTATGTTGTTAAAAATGCCAAAATACTCCTATTTCACATTCTCTTAAGGTAATCTTTGACCTGAAAAATGTAGTGGTGGCCATCCTTTTGTAAGAAGAAATCACATTTAGAAAGATCAATCGATCCAAGGAAATAGAAGAAAGGGGAGTCCTGTTCACAGGTGTTTCTTTTCTGATGTTAAGTTGTTTTTATTGCTGTGGTAGAAGTGATTTTTCCATGTGAGGGTTTTTTTGTTTAGCCTATTATGTAAAGACATGTAGACCAAAAGAGCTTTCCTCTCTTTGTGACATCATTTAATTCATGTATTTTCATTTCTTTCATATATATCATTAATGAAGTTGTTTCTCAGTATATTAAAATATTTTGCATGACCAAAGAGGAAGTTTTTAATTAGGTAGGAAGTAAAAAGAGGAGAAATAGATAAAGTAGTGAGGAGAGTGGTTAGACCTAGAGCCTCACACGAGATGAACGTCTGGGGGAATGAGAGCTATGCTTGATCACGCCAGGGCCTCCCGAGAGCGGGATCTGGTGAGTCAAATATACACGAGCAATTGTGTATACATTTTGAGCACTTCAGCAAGCCACCCAATAGGCAGGGTGTCCCTCCCTTAAGAAAGTCATGTAAACAAAAATCCAAAATTTTAAACAGAATAATTTAGCAGTTATTTTAATTATAAAATGCATCCTTATTTAACAGAACTTACTATTCAATTCCTTTAAAGAGCAGACACTTATAAAACATGATTGAATTCAGGAAAAAGAAAAAAAAACATCTATTTTTGAACACCGTTTTGGAAGGCCATCTATAAGAATTAGCCACATTCTGCTCTCACTGACATTTCAATCAGACTGGGCATGGAACATTTGCTCAAGGCTAATTGCAACTGTCTAGATCCATAATGAAGCCTTCCCTGGATAACCTTTACGAATTACAGCGAGGGAAGGTCCCTTCTGAGCAAAGGGCTATTCAATAAACTTTCACCTTTGGAAGATAAGTGATTAGAAGCCTATTGTCAGTGGGTTGACAGTATTCTCTTCTAGATGGAAACCTTTATACGTGGAAACGGCAAGTAATGGCCTCTGTGATTGCAGGTTCTTGTCACTGTGGAAAGTGCATTTGTTCTGCTGAAGAATGGTATATTTCGGGAGAATTCTGCGACTGTGACGACAGGGACTGTGACAAGCACGATGGTCTCATCTGCACAGGTGCAGTATTGGCCTGCTCGACCTGGTCTGTGCCGCAGTTTGCAGTAAAGACAAACACTACCCACACGCTGTGGTAGCTGGCTGGGCAGGAGAGTGTCCACCAGCTGCTCGTGTGCAGGCACCGCATGAGGGGAGGTGGGCATCTGGGAATAAGCACTGGTATTAATCCCAGGCATAGGAGAATACAGAACAGTGAAGCCAATTTATATGACTGTTGAAAAACTTCCGCAAAGTAACTGCCCTTTCCCCAACCCATACATAGACAGTTATATATTGAAAAGAGACAAGAATTCTCTTGACAACCAATTCACCTGGAGACTGGCGTGGGGAATGGAGGAGGATTTTGAACAGGCGTTCAGGTTCCACTAGTTCAAAGATGGTTGGCGTGGTGGTGGTTCTCAGGGAATGGACTGTGTGTGTGTGTGTGTGTGTGTGTGTGCATGTGTGTGTGCAGATGGGGGTGTGAAGAACACTTGGCAGTGTAATAGATCCTGCTCTCCTAAGTCACTAAGTCTTAATAACTTGCTATAAAATACATCTGCTTAAACAAGTTACAGAGGACAGAGAGACATGCATATTTGTTTTCTGTGTTTCTAGCTGAAGGTAAAAGATGAATATTTGTGTCATTAGGCTGGACACTCACTTTCTGTCCTTCCCTACAACTGAAGGCTCCTCTTCTAGCTGATTATTCAGCCTACCTCATATTATGTCAAGGTGCTTTATGTTTTTTACTTTTTATTCATAAGTCAGATATAACTTGCTCTCTACCAGAAAACAAAATGACATGGAAGTCCAGCTGGACTGATACAGGATGGTCACTGGTGTACGGATCCACATAAATGGGCCCCCGTAGATGCCAGTGTTTGAAAGATCAGATTTTTCCTAGCTACTTAATATGACAATAATCAAATGGCTGCCCAGCAAGAAAATCTGTAGAGGATGAGTGGAATGGTTTTGATTACAAACAGTTATGGTTTAAAACATCTTCACTTGGTGCATTTCTACATGTTCACAACTCTCACGTGTGTTTTATTGCAGGTAATGGAATATGTAGCTGCGGAAACTGTGAGTGCTGGGATGGATGGAATGGAAATGCATGTGAAATCTGGCTTGGCACGGAATATCCTTAAACAGTTCCATGGAGGAGGATGGGATTTTTATTTCTCTAGGCCATTAGAACACATAAATGCAACGGAAACCATGTATAATCACCATTAGGGCAGGTCAAACAGACTATTGTATGTTTTTCTATTTCTGAATGCCTGAATGAAATCTGGGTAGCCATTAAAAATGAGTTAAGCAAAGTCTGATGTAAATCACACCAGAAAGAAATTTTCTTCCATAATCTACATCAGTGGTTCTCAACGTGGGCGACTCTGCCACCCAGAAAAGAGTTGGCATTGTCTGCAGACAATGTTGATTGTCACACTGGCTGGGATGGGAGGGTGTGCTACAGGCTTCTAGTGGGTAGAGGCCAGGGATGCAGCTAAACATGACAGCGCACAGGACAGCCTCCACCACAGAGAATTATCTGACTCAAAATGTCAATATTGCCAGAGTTGTGAAACACTGAATTACATGATTGCTAGAAATGCACAGCTCTATGCAAAAAGGACCATATTAGCATCTAAAGGGAAGATATATCCTCACATAAATCCATTGATTATATTTTGCCAGGATTCCTTATCATTCAGCTTTTCTTTAAGGGGACAGTGAAGGCAAACCCACATGAGGTATAAAATTGGGGGTGGGGAACGAGGGGAGTCCAGAGACCTGTTAACCAGTGCTTTTGAAAGAAAAAGAGTGGTCGGTTTTAGCCATTAAGTCATTTGTCTAGTCTCACTTTAAACTCACAAAGCAAGATTCTTTTATGATGAAGGAAGAAAGTATGAAAAATGTACAATTTAACATTTTTAATAAATAGTGTTATAAGTTGTTTATACCCTGTGTCAATATATATCTTCCACTTGCGGCTTTAACCCCCAAAGTGAGGTGTTCTTCAGGGGTATCTATTTTCTGTTACTAGATCAGTTTTTAAACTGGGCAGGGGTTACGTGTACAAGGAATCTGATTTTTCACAACTTAAGTTACTCCATGGTAACTTGCCACTTAAAAACACAATATCTGGTTAAATATACGATGGGGATGAAATATGCATTCGTTTCCCTTAAAAGACTCTCTGATTTCTAAGGATACATTTACTTACTAGAAAATTAGTACCATACAAAGAAGTCAAAAGGAGATATTGTGATAAAATGGCACCAGTCTCTAAAGCTCAGAGGATAAAAAAACAAAATAAAAAAATGACTTAAATAGAAATTATAAATATTCACTCAGTGATAAGAACAAAACATTTATTTTCTTAATGGTGAAATTTTGCTCTGTATGAAATTCACATTGAATTATGAAAATGTACAATAATTTGGACTTCCCTTACATATTTACAGTTAAATCTACTTTCACACATTAGTTTAGGCAACCTTTAATTATTTGGAGCGAAAAAAAAAACACACATTTTTTTCTAAATGTGAATTGTATTTTGTAAAATCCTAGAATAATGTAACAAAATCGTTTCCTTATTGTTTGAGATGAAAATTTTACTTGGAAATTTTAATGATGTAAATACTCTGTGGTCATGGCTTGAACTTTTTAAGTCACATCACCAAAAATGAAAATATGTATCCACTGAGTTACTTAAAAATTTAATATTGAAAAATATTTAAGAGAAAATTTAACTGATGCTGATTTTTTATAGTACTAACAGTGTTCTGATACTTTAGTAGATTTATAAAACTGTTATCTCTATCCTGAGACTAAGGAGTGCAACCGTATTAGCTGTATCTTTACTACTGAGCATGTCAGTTGATATATCAGGTTGGTAAAGGAGGGAAATATAAGCAGTTAAGAAAGAATATAGGTTATATTCTTTCCTGTCCTCTAGCCTAGCATTTTAAGGCTCAAACAAACCTATTATAATTGCTCAGTAGCAATCTTGATGACTTGAGGATGCACACATATTAAGATTCATTACACTATCTAGCCAGGCATAATACAAATAACATTCAAATTCCCCTGTTGCAGAGCTCTGTTTTCTATAATGGACCAGCTAGTAAATATTTTAGACTTTGTCAGCCACATGCATCTCATATTCTTCATTTGTTTGTGTTTAATATTTTAAAACTGTTAAAAAAAAAGAGAGGAAATACCCTCATACTATGTTGCTGGGTCATACAAAAACAGATTGTAAGCTGGGTTTGATTTGCTGATGAGTGGTAGTTAGCCAGCTTGCTTGATCCTTGACCTGCCCTCAACTGCCAGTGTCTTACCACGTAAGCCTAGGGGTGTCTTATTTTCTTGTTATACACTAGATTTGTTATCCCTTTTCCATTAGCAACAACTATAGCAAAAGGCTCCTCTTTTCATATTTTCATGTAAAAAAAATGCCCTCAGCATTTATGTCTCTTAAAAAAAAGTTTAGATATGGAGAAAGTATTACACTATAAGGTTCAAAATGTAATTTGTCCTGATTTTTTTAAGAAGGTGTAAATATATTACAGTCAGCTATATCTTGGGTTCGTTTAGCTACACATTACTGAGCCACAACTGAGTTATTGCAGAAATCACATGGTATCTAAACTCTAATGCACATTTTTCTTTTAAAACAGAGTATTTCTTTTTACTTCTTTCTGTCTGCCATATTTCGTGTGTGTGTGTGTGTCTGGCTCTGGCAATGGAGACATCCACAGATCTATTAAGAAGTGATTTAATCTACATGTTGGAAAAAAAGTTCCATGGAAAGACTAAATTCTACCCTTCAATGTGATTTTGTACTTTGACTTTTGATTTCCTTACTGAGATAAAAACTGCCCCTTAAAAAAAAAAAAAGGTGGGACAAGAACAAACTTGTAATAGGTCAGAGGGAAAATGTGCAAATCTGATTGGCTTGTTCAAGTTTTTCTAAAATTACAGTGGGATTAATGGCAACTGGGAAGGTTGCAACAGTTTTGCAGCTGCTTGTTTGGCAGACAATCACTGAGTTCTTTCACGAAGACTTTGCAGGGAAATCCGACGAGGGTCCTAAGGCCTAAAGAGGAGAATCATTATACCCTGTTTTTCCTCTGAGCACCTTGAGGTAACCCAGATCACTGCAGCACATTGAAAGGAATGGCCTCCTCTACCTCAGATGCCAACCTTGGCCAGCAAATCATATAGATGAACAAGAAAAAACCAAACCGAAACATAGCTCAGCCTTCATTTGTAGACTCACTATCAAAACTTTGAAACCCTACTTGGTACTCAAGAGAGTCAACAGACCCATGTTCCATCTGTAATCTAAGATCCCTAACCTATGAAATGTAGTTTACTCCAAGGTAACACAATTCACATCTGGCCAGTTGCTTTCCCGGGACATAGTCTTGTTCTGAAATAAAATGAAAATAAGTTGAAATTATTTTCACTTCCTTCTAAAATGGATTTCTTAGTCAATCTGGTCTCTTCAAATGTTATTCTCCCTCTAATATGAGGAAGAAACCTTTAAGTGAAGTGATACATGTCTTAAAGAACAAGATGTTTTCTGGTTGTGTTGTTTTGCTTTTTAAGAGAAACAAATCGAAAATTGGTTCGCTTGAAAACATCTGACCGTTTTATTGCTTTAGACATTAATTAAGCAACTGGCCAGCTGTGCTAACAAAGCTCCACTTACTCTCCAAGAGGCGAACAATTAGAAGGGCTGCAGCAGGAGTCTTGGGCACCCACTGTGGAGAAGCCACCCCCAGCCCTAAAAACCTCAGGGCAATGAAACATTTAGAGCAAGAATCCATATTCTCCAGTATTTGTGAGGAGAGGATGGAGTACCACTGTACTCTTCACATAAAGTGTACCATTTACATCTCTTGTGTAATTTTTTCTGGTAGAGTTTAGTAAAATATTTTAGAAAGCAAACTTAAAATAAAAATGGTGACACCTGAAATATTAAAACAACACTCCTGACCATTGATGAGGGGTGGGTGAAGCAACTGGCTACCATAAGAAATCAGTAGAAATAACCCTCCTACAGCAGATATGCATGCAAGGGGATGTGATATTGGAGAGACTCGATACAATTAACCTGTGTACATGGAGGTACAAAATACACGGCCTGTAAATACAAATGAATTCTATCATATTTACTATGCAGAACATCAATAGTGACAGATTACACTTACTTAATAACAGCAAACCTAATTTTGGAAGGGAAAAAATGGTGGAGTCTTACCCTGGAAGAATAGCCAGAGAGGTATCATCAAAGAGCTAAAATTTTCTTTGGCATGGTAAACTGGAAAATTGAATTCACCAACTTATTTACATGACAGTTCTCTATATTTGTGGGTGATGCAATGCCATTTTGTTACATAAAGTCGTTTGATGTTTTATAATATGCCTTTGTATAAATATTTTATTTCAACATGTACTTGTGAGTACAAATGATAGTAAACACAGAAACTACAATGCAGAGAAACTCTATGTATGTAAATTGAGTCATACATACCAACAGTTCTTGATACACATGTCCTATTACATGCAGTTCATCCAGTGTTGTCCTCGTCCTATGCAACAGGTGAGACCAGACACCAGGAAGTGGTCTAATTACAAATAACAAGGACCCCTCTGCAATATGACTAAACATATATTAGAAGAAAGTATTTTGACATCCATTCATAGGGATAAATGCCCTTAGAGACAACTCGGATAAAGCCCAAACTGAGGTGCATATTGACATAAATGTGTCCTTTACGAAAATAAATCTTGTATTAATTTTAACCATTAAACAGGCCCGCAGGGGAAAAAGAAGCTAATAAGTCAAGCTGGTTACTAAAAAAAATAGGTGGGGTTGTTTGATGTGTGTGTGTGTGTGTGTGTGTGTGTGTGTGTGTGCGTGCACATGCACATACACTTGTACACATGGGTGTTGGGGTAAGCACTGTCTATAAACCCATCTAATTGGAATTTCAAGTTAAATTATTCATAGTTTGCCACATGTTATGGAATATATGTCTTCCCTAAATAATTGGTTAATGAAATTCATCTTATATATTTCATCCTGTTAAAAACCATAGACTTTAATCTGACTTAAAGAGAAATCAAGAATGGTCGAAGGAATCATTTTGTGGTATTTTCTTACTTAAGCATTACCGACAATAAATCTACTCAAACATTATGCTAACTTTTTATTTATTAAAATGGAATCCAATATGAAAATGAAATAAGCATAAACAGTTAAATTTATACTAAATCTTTAATCAGCTAAGCAGGCCAAAATTTTTAAATGCTGGGCAAGGGCTGTTGTGGAGACTTAGGAAAGCGGTGACAAAATAATTTCCCGGGTAAATACAGTGCAGGTGGGGGAAGATGGCAACTGGGTCATCCTTCTACATGGAAATAATAACAAGAAGCCAGCACACTGATCCCACATGTAGGTTTCTATAAATGAGGTTCAGTTTGGTCTCAATGAACTCTTCTGAGCAGAAAACGTTGAATTTTATTAAGTATACACAGTCAACAAATATTTCCAAACAGTTTAGTACTAAACATTTTGAAACTTTATATCCAATATTGAACATTTGGCATGGTTGCTTCACTGTGTAGTCAACTATCCATGGCCTTTCTTAGTAGCTGTCTTCCCTAAGCTCAGAGTTACTCCAAAGGAAATTAAGAAAATGAAAGAAAACCAAAGCAAATCAGTGGAATGGACGGAAACACCTGATGAAGCGTGTTGGTTTGCCTTTCATTTTATTTAGTCATTGAACAGACTGCATTCTGAGATCATGGCAAGGCACCTCTCCTCCAGCCCGCGGGCGACCTGGGCTCTGGGGGGCTGAGTGACGGGCATGGACCGGTGAAAGACACAGTGCCTGACTCAGCATGCTGAGCTCAAAAAAATATTTTTTCCTAATGTGTCCAG